TGAAATTTTTCACTTAGTATTGTAAGATAAGAAAATATGATGTTGATTTATATTGTAATGGAATTTGATGACTGTTAAATAGTTGTGAGGTACATATTTGATTTACAGTGTTCTCTCTTATAGTTAAGGTAATTAATAGTTGTCATTCTTATATTTTAGCTGAGCATCAATATGTATTTCTGTGAAGCAAGTGAATTTCTTGTCCTTCAGGCCATATTCTGAAGACTGATATAACATGGGAATTTGCTGGTTGTGGTATGTCTGTGTCCCCCTGAATAGAAGTCACCCGCAATGTGACAATTGAAACGGAATGAGCAGGCAAATTTAGTGGAATCTAGTGAAGAGTGTTGGTGAAAATTGATGTACTCCTGGGTATGTAAGAGGCACATAAGTGGTCCTAGTGACAGTGGAAATGTTACTGCGACAACCTTTCATCATTTACAAGGTAACGTACATGAGCATTCTCTTCTGCAGGCGTCATCTTAGTTCTTCTGTTCATCTAGTCATAATTTCCATGTGTCATGTTGAATTTTAGTTAACATATCTCAGTTATGTCAGCGTTTTTTTTCCTTCAATTGAAAGTAGCCTGATGAATCTCGCATATCTGCATCTGCTTTCTTTAGCCTCAATACATATTTTTCAGCATGAATAAACCTGCTTCTTTATTCTTATTCCTTCTTGCTTGCTTACCTGGCTGCCTGCCTGTGTGTCTGCCTCAGTTAATCTTCCAGCTGGCATTGTTCTTAAGTAGAGTTCATGGTGCTTCCATTGGCATGAGGGTAGAAGGAAACACACACTATTGACATGACATAATTTTTTTCTGTTAATGACATCACTTTAAGTAAATGCGATCAGTTTGACTGAAGTTATAATGGAAATTGAGACACTTTTCAAATGTTTGACATACATATTTAACATTAACTGTTCTCTTATATTATTAAGGTAATTAAATATGTATTATTATGATGTCCTTTTGAGGGTCATGTATTTCGAGGGAGTGAGTGACTGATTCTTTTCTTCAGGTGAAAACTTGGAGAATTAGAAGACCTCGAAGGAGACTGCTGCTTGGGTTTCTTTGCATCGCCTTTATGTGAACTGTGTTGCCATGAAACTAATCTGACAATGAATATGGAAATTCTTCAGTGATGTGTTGTGTTGTTGAGATATGAAGAAAATGGATCCGTTACTGGTGATGATACATAGCACAAGTGTCTTATGATAGTGGAAATGTCACCGCCACAGCATAATATCATTTTTGAGGTACGCTGAAGTGCAGCAAAGTACTTTATAGGAGTTATATTAGTTCTCCTCTTTTAGACTTAATTTTCATGCACTAAATTTTGTGTTTAAAGTACATGTGGTTATTTTGCAGATGGGTTCTTCCTTGAAGTGATACTTGTCTTTCTTCCTCATCCTGCTTGTAACTTCCTCTTTGAGCCTGCATGATTGCCTTCCTACTCTGCCATGAATGCGGCCTACATTATTCTTCCCTAGAATGCATGTGGCGTCCATTGAACAATGGAAGTAAAAATGCTCACTATTTGGTTTGCATGAAATTTTTCACTTAGTATTGTAAGATAAGAAAATGTGATGTTGTTGATTTAAATTGTAATGGAATTTGATGACTGTTAAATAGTTGTGAGGTACATATTTGATTTACAGTGTTCTCTCTTATAGTTAAGGTAATTAATAGTTGTCATTTTTAAATTTACCCGAGCGTCTATATATATTTCTGTGAAGCAAGTGAATTTCTTGTCCTTCGGGCCATATTCTGGAGACTGATATAACATTGTAAGTTGCTGGTTGTGGTAGGCCTGTGTCCCCCTGAATAGAAGTCAGCCGCAATGTGACAATTGAAACGGAATGAGCAGGCAAATTTAGTGGAATCTGGTGAAGAGTGTTGGTGAAAATTGATGTACTCCTGTGTAAGTAAGATAGACATAAGTGGTCGTAGTGACAGTGGAAATGATACCGCTACAACCTTCCATCATTTGCGAGGTAAAGTACATGAGCATTCTCTTCTGCAGGAGTCATCTTAATTCTTCTGTTCATTTAGTCATAATTTCCATGTGGTACATGTTGAATTTTAGTTAACATATCTCAGTTATGTCAGCATTTTTTTTCCTTCAAGTGACAGTAGCCTGATGAATCTCGCATAATTGCATCTGCTTGCCTTAGCCTCAATGCCTATTTTTCAGCATGAATAAACCTGCTTTTTTATTCTTTTTCCTTCTTGCTTGCTTGCTTGCTTGCCTGGCTGCCTGCCTCTCTGTCTGCCTCAGCCAATCTTCCAGCTGACATTGTTCTTAAGTAGAGTTCATGGTGCTTCCATTGGCATGACGGTAGAAGGAAACACACACTATTGACATGACATAATTTTTTTCTGTTAATGACATCACTTTAAGTAAATGTGATCAGATTGACTGAAGTTATAAGGAAATTGAGACACATTTAAAATTGTTTACGTACTTGTTACCCATAGCGAATAGTTCCGCAACCGAATTTACGTCACAATCTCGTATATACAACCGCACTTCTGGGCGTAGATTCTTCATCAACAATCGCAGTTTTTCTGCAGAGGTCGGCACTTTAGTGAGGCGTCTCATTAACGTCCTAATGGCTGTTACATAATCAGCGACTGATTCGTCGGCCCCTTGGGTCCTCACCCGAATATCCTCCGAAAGGACATCATCTGTCTCTACAGGGAGGCACCTATCCTTAAAATTAATAAGGAAATCTTCCCACGTATCCCAAGTACTCTGATTATTTTGAAACCATAATATAGCTTGACCTTTCAGTATCTCAGGTACCGTGCATAACATAGATTCATCACTGACGTCATATGTTAATTTCAATTCTCCCAGCCTTTCTAAGAAGGTATGCACACTATCGTCCAGCGTAAATTTCAAGCCCCATTTCCGGACGGTGTCTAATGGAAGAGGTCGGCAGCCTTCACCCCCCTGACTCATCTCCTCTAAATCGGAAGGAAATTCTAAAAACTCCTCTGAATGGTCACGAACATACTGGAATAAGCGGAGTGTTAAATCCTCTTTAGACCCAGTTACATCCAACCCGCAATCCTCCAGCTCGGCTTTCAACGTAACTTCGTCCAACTGAAAAATCCAATTTACCCTACTATACTGTTCGGGATGGGCCCTTGCATACTCGGTAAGCCTCCTTCGTAATTCATCCCGAGAGCCTTCTGTTGACAGGTTCATACGGGCCAGTTCCCATTCCAAATCTGATTTCCATAGCTTACGAATCCACGCCGTACTATATGACGTCATAGCCCGAAGGCCCCCCCCCCAACTTACTAGCTATTGCCATTATATTAACAAGCTACTTACTTTGACTGTACTCTACTATCGAGCAAAACAAGGCACCTCATCCCCTGGACACTTGCCCCGTTGAACTGGCCCCTCCTATGGAGCCTCTGGCGTTCGCCTCTACCAAGCTCATCCACGTTTTGCTCTGAAACAGTTGTCCTCAAAATTATTTACTCAGTCAAATCGAAATAAACCTAATCTAATGAAGTCCCTGTTCGGGCGCCACTGTTACGGATTTGTTGCTACGGGGGTGGGGCAACCTAATGGGCCGTGTAGGCCATTACTGCCCGTCTCAGTTTACACATAATACAGTTGCG